ACTTCTTGTTTGCTCCCAACAGAGGCCAATCCAGATTTGCAGCAAAGGAAAGAAGGATGTGGATGGTGTTGATCTTGGCTACTGGTGCAAATGTTTCCATATAGTCAATCTCATAGGTTTGTGTGTATCCTTTAGCGACCAGTCTTGCTTTAAAGTGTTCAACTGTGCCATCTGCTTTATGTTTAATGGTGAAGACCTTGCACACTATTAGGAATAGATACAACAGTTAATTGATTTACAAAGGATTCATTTTCCTTTGACAACCTATGGTAAGACACAGAGTTACTGATGGGATATTTAGCTTTGGAATTAAGGATAGGTTAGTAGTTAACCTTCGGTTTACCTTTTGTGGCTCTATCGGGTAGTATTTTAGGATAAAATGCAGGAGGGGGTTCAGAAATTACCTGAGTTTTGATGAAAGGATCGGCCTGAGAAGATAATTTGTTAACAGTTACATGAGAGCTAGATCGAGGTGAAGGTGACTCCAAATTTGCATGAGTATCACCACTACCGCTTATATCCAATGTGTCCAGAGAAGTGGCCTCAATTGGACTTTCACCACTTGGAACTGAGATATCACCACTTATATCCATGTGTCCAAAGAGTCAATTAGAGGGTCAATTAGATGCTGCATTTCATTACGATTCTCCCCCTGAAGTGGAGCTGTAGGGACAGAATAATACATATCCTCTTCATGAACCACATCATCAAGTATAACATATAATTTTTAAGAAGGGGGATGATAACAACGATACCTTTTTTGGTGCAAGGCATAGCCAACAAAAATACAGTGAAAAACGCGGGGTTCCAATTTATTTCTCAAAGATTTGGGCACATGCACATAAGCAACACAACCAAAGATTCGAGGTGGTAGATTTGGCATAGGTGGAGCACGTATAGCTGTATGAAGAACGTGAAATATAGTTTGAAACTGAAGGGAGCTAGAGGGTACTTGATTCATGAGATAAGCAGCAGCAGTAACAGCCTCACCCCAATATTGAACTGGCACGTGGGCTCCAAATTAGGAAGCACAGACAACTTCTAAGAGATGACGGTTCTTGCGCTCCGCGACTCCATTTTGCTGAGGGGTATAGGGACATGTGGTCTGTGGACAATACCATTGGAATTCAAAAATTGTTTCAAATCATTATTAACAAATTTGCCACCATTGTCAGTACGGAGGACCTGAATATGAGACTAATATTGTGCAATTATCATCTGGTAAAATTGTCGAAATAAAGAGCTAACTTCGTTCTTTGTTTTCATTAGGCAAATCCAAGTCATGCGATTTTGATCATCAATGAACGAAACAAACCAATGGGCACCACTTAGAGAATTGGATTAGCAGGACTCCATACATCGGAATGAATTACCATAAAGGGGCTGGGCTTTTATTCATACTTCGTGGAAATGAAACGCGATGGCTTTTAGCCAACTCACAAATATTACACTTAAAATCTGAAGCATTCAAGTTTACAAATAGTCGTGGAAATAAGTTATGTAAATATCCAAAAGATGCATGACCTAAACGCCTATGCCATAGCCAAATTTCAGAACTCTGGTATGTGTCACATGCGCTAGGTGGGTGAGCTTGGGCTACCAGATTCGAGCTTTGCAGTATTAGATCCAAGTAGTAGAGCTTTCCACTTCTAGTACCATAACCAATTGTCTTCTGAATTTGGATATCCTTGAAAATATAGAGACTAGGGCAAAAAATCACAATACAATTTGAAGCAGTAGTTATTTGAGCAACAGACAACAAGTTATTATTAAAAAATGGAACAACTAAAACAGAGTCTAAATTCAAATTGGGAGCTAGAGTAATGAATCTTTCACCAATCACAGAAGCGAAGTCTCCATTGGCGGTGACCATGATAGGTTGGGTAGAAGATTTAAGAGATTGAAGGCTACTAATGTCAAAGGTCATATCATCCGTTGCACCTGAATCAATTATCCATGTATTATTATGACTAGTAGTAGATGCATTAAAGACCTTACCAATATTACTTGTAGCGGCAGCCAAAGAAATTGCTTCGGTAGGTTCAGGTGCATCACCAAATAAATCAGAATTGGGCTCAACCACGGCTATAAATGCATGTGATTTAGAATTCTGTCCATGAAGGGCTTTGGTGGAATCCCACCACTCTGGATAGCCGATCAATTCATAGCAACAAGACTTGGTGTGCCCAGTTTCACCACAATGAGTGCAGAGGCACTCCTGGTATCCAGTATTGCCAGTTTGAGATCCAGAGTTTCGATGCTTGGTCTGATGCAGTTTAGGCCCATGAACTACCATGGTAGAGGGTTCTGAAAGGGCAGTGTCACCAAGAATGGTCAGGCGCCGAGCAACCTCGCGACGAACACATGCATAAGTTTCTTCGAGATCGATGGTAGGGTCCTTGCGAAGTATTTCACCACGAAGTGACTCAAACTCGGCATCCAACCCATTTAGGAAGACATGGACACGGAGCTGTTCAGTAGATTTCTTATACATGACCACATCATCCGGGTCTTTCATGACAATTTTATCACGGTGGTCCAACTCTTAGAAGATTCCAATCAATTCACCATAAAAAGTAGATACGGGGCGACCAACCTATTTCGTAGAGAAGGCTCGTTGGTTCAGGGAAAAAAATTGGGATTCATCCGAGCCATCATAAAAGGCTTTGGTGAGGGCAATCCAGATTTTCCACGTCGTTCGGAAGAGGAGGTAACGTTTTATGATTTCATGAGACATAGATGCAAGTAACCAGCCCTTTACCTTCTGATTTTCAGCATACCACTTGATGTAGTAAGCATCAGTAGGTTCTGGGATAGGTGCCTTTCCCATAATGTAGTCGAGTTTCTCTCGTCCAGCAATCTGCATCTCCAAAATCTGAGACCATGCGTCGTAATTTATTTCTGTAAGAATAACTCCAGTAGTAAAACCAGAATTTTCAGATTGGACATGGATAATATGGGTGGTGGGTGCAGGGGTCCCTTTCAGGAGAGGATTTTCTGGAGTGGTAGCTTCAAGAATATATGTTTCAGCCATGGTTCAGAGATGGAGAGACAGATAATGCAATGGGCTGGCTCTGATAACAAGTCAAAAACAATAGGGCTGTTTCTTACAGAAGGATTGACATTACATAGCCATTGTACAAAATCTTTTTGGAAGGAAAAATAACCTATACTAGGAAACTAATATATACAACCGGGAATGGAAAAACTGTCACATCTAAGAATGGAAAAATAATCAAGGCTTGGAGATAATTTTATTAATATTCAAGAATGGGTGTCACAGAGAGGGCTCTAGTAAGCTCCTCTGCCTGCTGCAGCGCGCATTACCTCTAATTGAGCGAAAAGCCTCCATTTTGGTCCCGTTGCACCTATTATATCACCACAATTTCCCCCGAATATTATTCCTCTACTTAGTTCGATTTATGACTTATAAGTTACAAGCCTGAACTTATATAATTTCCACGTTATCTACCGATGATGAATCAAACAACATAACACCAACTTTGAAAGTGTT